CCCTCTCTCCCTCCCTCCCTCCCTCCCTCCCTCCCTCCCTCTCTCTGTCCCTCTCAGGTCAACTTAAAAATAAATGATTAAATAAAGTTAAATAAAATAATTCTTTAAGTAAAAAGTACTTCAGTGAATTGTGTGGCATTGGGAATTGAAAAGATCATGTCTAGTTTTCAGCATTATGAACTTCAGGTACCCATGAGAAAACAGACTAAGTCTAGGAGACAGAGGGCTCAAGTTTGTCGGATGATTCAGCCCACCTATGTCAATTCACTTCGGTACTCTTTTTGCTCAGCAAATTCTGTAATTCACTAAAAGTCAGGAAGATACTGAGTTAAACTAAGTTAGTGTAAGATGTCGCAGAACTAACGTGCAACATAAATTTCCAAGAAAACGGTCTATATTATGCAAGGTTTTCTCCTCATGTGCATGAATTTCCAAGAAGGGGATATGTAATACCATTTTAATTCTGGAGCACATCTGATATCACCAATGCACCACAGAATACACACTGAGAAACAATGTTAGTATATGAAGAAAAGTGGCATGTGAGATTAAATTAAATTTCTTTACTGAAAGTCAGGATTGCTGCAATTTGTACAGAGAATTTTAGTGCCACTTCTACTTTGTTGTGGAATGTAAGGTGACACAACCCCACTCAGGTATTTTTGGCCATTACCTTAATTAAACAGCCATCACTGCAATGCCAAACTATTCCTTCGATTTTCCCCTCTCTACAACCTTCAAACCAGGACAAGAGATCATTGTGCTTCAATGGAGGTAGATTTCTTATTTGAAATGCTCCGTGTGGTATAAGAAGATGTAATGGATGCTTCTTGCTTCCTAATCCTAAGTGGTAAAATCTGCCATTAGCCATACTTATTAAAAGACACATTTTAGAAAGAATAAGAAAATGTACCTCTCCCAATAAAAAGTCTCATAAAATATTTAGTAACAAAGTTAACAAAAAGTTTAGTGGTCTCCCTTGAGAAAAAGTATAATCCAAATGCATTAAGCACTGCTATGGCTCAAATGTGGCACCTTACTTCACCAAATCTAAATACCGTAGTGTACTTACTCTGCCAGACGTAGGCAAACTGACCTGAAGGCCAAACCGAGACACACATACCTGTTTTTGTAAAGTTTTAATGAACATAGCCACATTCATTTACAGACTGCCTGTAGCCTATGGCAGAGGTGTGGCCTTCAAAGCTTAAATAATATCTGGCATTTCACAGAAAAAGTCTCCTAACTGCTACTCAATGCCACTAGCCATATTCAACTATCATTCAAACAGCTTTGCCAAACAGCTACACTGTCTCTCTGATACACTGAATAATTACTATTTTAGCTTTCTTACACCTGCCAATCCATCTGCTTTTAATGTCTATATAGCACTTTGCTGTTACAGTTTTAATGTCCTTAGCTCTATCATCTTATTTCCCTCTCAATGTATTCCATAGTGCCCTTGGCGTACTCGATTTTTCATGGTACATAGGATGGGACTTTAAAAAGTTTGCAAACATGAAATGTAAAAATATGAGTTTATTTTGATGCAAAAACACTGCTATCAGTGTACAGTTCTCATAATATGTATTTTCCATGAACTTTCTAAAGACATCCCCCCCGTTTTTTTTTTTTTTTTTTTTTTTTTTTTAGAGATTTTCACTGTAGGGCGCGTGCGCTCGCCAGACAGACAGAGAGAGACATAGAGACAGAAAGCGAGAAATCACCCCCCAGGGGGGATGGTCACGCCGCAATCCCTTCTCCTCCATTCTCCTCTCGGGATCTTGGGCACGCATGCACACGTGCCCGGCGTGAGTTTTAAGCCACTGGGTCCGGGACACGAACTGCGGTCGACTACGTGGGAGTCCAGCGACATAGCCATTACGCTAACTGCTGGTTCCTCCCCCTCGTATTTTGATGTTTTATACATTACTCACTGCTGCTAATTATTTACTCTTGTCTGTTTTAATTCATGCTAAAATAATTATCTAGCTACAAAAAGTACATTTCAGTCAATTCACCTTATTAAATTTTAAAAAGCAATACTTAGTCCTGATTAATTACTTTTCAGGTGATGCTACCACAGGAAAGAATGAGAATTAAATCAACATTCTTGATTATTATAATAAAACTGTTAGTTAGACCTGTGTAGGTATTCATGAAGTTAAAGTTAACAGAAATAGATGTAATCCTAGGAAACTAAGCCAGATTTGGTCATTTCTCTAGTGTGTGTGAGTGGCTAAGCTAACCCTAGGAGGTTCTCTTTTAAAACAAAACAAAACGTTACTATAGCTGAACAAGAAAAAAGCTTCACTCACCGTATGGGTTTCCATTGATATTTGTTCCTACAAGCTCCAGTGTTTGTTCTAAGAGATCTGATAGTGGCACTGCACTGATTTCCAATAGTCCAGAATCGTCAGGATGATGCTTTAGTACCAAGGCAATTTCAAATTCATAATTAACTACAGAGGAATGCCAGCAATACTGTTTGTTGTTTTTCTCTACTGGTACCCAACCTATAATTTAAAGAAGTAATTTTGAATTATATTGTTTTCTTTGGACTGAAACTGCAGACAATTCTTATTTTTGTTGTAAATTTCCCTTATTTTCTAGATGTTCTACCACATATTCAGTTTTCCAACAAATGGGAAAATTAATGGTTTTACTGTATTTTTCTTTTTTTAAAATCACAAAGGTTCATTTTATTCTGATGAAAAATTAACTTCTTTAGTTATTCCACTAAAAAACACCCAGAATTCTATTAGAAAATGCACCCTAATTAAATACAAATTGAGCACTATTCTAAGACATAGCATTAAGGTTTATTATAAAATAAGTTTCTACCTTCTCTCCAATTTCAGGGACAATGAACATATGTATTCAGAGTAAATATTCCCCACTTTATTGAACTGTTCTAATGTACACTGAATTCTTTATTGATTCTATTTATTGAGTATTATTGTGGTTCCTCTTCTCATTCTTGTCAGAATAGGCCCCCTCATTGTGGAACATTCATTAACCACCACCCCCCCCCCCAAAAAAAAAAAAAGACACACTAGGACATATATGCCACTGGGACCACATTTTTGGCCTTCATTACTTACCCCAGATTACTGTAATAATTTGATGGCCTGCTAACCAATAGTGAAACCCACTTACTTCTATTAGTTTCATTTCTAAAATTTAAATCTGGTTCTGCTCTACCTCTGCTTAGTAATCATTATCTTCAGGATAAACTTCAAATTTAGAATTCAAGGGCCTTTAAGATCTGAATCCATTCCACACTTCTAGCCTCAGTTTTATAATCTCAAGATTCCATATACCCTAAACATTCTAGCTGCAAGGAATATTCTCTAAAATGTCCAAAATGTTCTACACTCTGCTGTTCTCTAGGGAGTTTGCCCACACTGACCTTCCCTCGTCTTGCCAGCTAAAGTACAGATGTCAGTTACTCTTAAAAGCCTCCGCGGGAACCAGCAGTTAGCATAATGGCTATGTCTCTGGACTCCCACGTAGTCGACCGCGGTTCGTGTCCCGGACCCGGTGGCTTAAAACTCACGCCGGGCGCGTGTGTGTGCGTGCCCAAGATCCCGAGAGGAGAATGGAGGAGAAGGGATTGTGGCGTGACCATCCCCCCTGGGGGGTGATTTCTCGCTTTCTGTTTCTATGTCTGTCTCTGTCTGGTGAGCGCACGCGCCCTACAGTGAAAATCTCTCCAAAAAAAAAAAAAAAAGCCCCCTCTAAGTCACTAACTATGAATTTCTCTTCTTCCCTGCCATTATACCTGTGTATTCATTCCTGTTAGTTCTTAAATCATCCATGGTTGCTTTCTCCCAATGTCTAATAAATCCTCAAGGACAAGGGTTCTGACCTTAATTTTTGTATTTCCAGATTTTAAGATTATTTTGAACATATAGGTACTCAAGATATTCCTCTTGAGTCCATAACATTAAAATCTGGGTACTTCTGTACTCAACATACCTTTGCAAATTTCTCCTATCCACAGAGAAACTACTTTTGAGACACCTATTTTCAACCCAATGGAGATATTCTTCTGGAATCTTCACAAAAATATACACATATAACTTATGTTATGCCCAACCTAAAGGTAAAGACTTTTTTGAAATCTCATTTCAGATTAGGTCAATCATATCTATTCTGGAAAGAACTTCAAGGTTATTCTTATTTAATGTTTTATTGTCACAGACTATAAAATGTCCACCTGAGAAGACTCTAAACCTGACAGGACATTCTTGATATGAAATATCTTACTTCTTTGATATAAATGAGCAGATTTTACATAAGTTTGATTCAGAAGTTTTATGCTGTACAAATAAAAACTAAAAGTCAGATTAAATTAAATTCTATAATTTCTGATCAAATGGACCTTTTGATTTTCACTTTTAAACACAAAACTGCATTTGAGAAGAGATTTCATGATACCAGGAATGTGTCCATTTTCATCAGGCACTGGATTCCCATTTAATTGTTCTATTTCCTTAGCTGGCATCCAATACTCTGGAACAGGTTTGAAGTCCTCTTCGACATTCCAAAAAAATTCTAAAAAGTTAGATAATATTATATGTGGCAACATGTTAAAAAATCTAAAATACGTAGCAGATTCAAACTGGGAACAGCTAATACAACCTCTTAATATCAGCTATATGCAGTTATTCTCCATTGACAATTACTATAATGTGCCTGTACTTCAAAGGTCAGGCTACTAACACTTTAAATTTTTAATTCTGAATATACCACTACTGGAATATAACGTGAAACTGTCTAATGTAGCCAATATTTCCTTATGTGTAGATTTACAGTAAATTTTTAATGCACACTAAAATACAAATATATACATAAAATGTTATATATATATATGAATATAGATACATGAGGGTATGTGTCTGCTACATATAATATTTAGAGATATTTTAATGTAATAATTAAAAATACTTTGAGATTTGTGCTTGATTTATAAAATTATCTCAATACAGACAAAGTTAAAATGGCATTCACTATAATGTATACACTAATTTTTATGTTTTAATAAAATACACTCATAATGAATAGTTGCAGGAATATTAGGAAAATGCTTTAAACTATTATTAAAGAATATTCTTTTTATATAAAATACTCAATCCTAATTTTTTCCCAAGCTGCTTATATTATACAAAAGGATATAATGTATAAAAATATCATAGCAATAAACAGCCACACATTTCAGCTATTAAAATCATGATAGTTAAAAAAAAAATAACCTTTTGAGTTTTCTTTTGAATGAAGAAAATTTTTAAATCTTTTGTCAGCTTGTTTGTTGGGTTTTCTATCTAGTCGAGCCCAAAGGTACGGCTGACCTAAAATAGTAGTAAAAGGAAAGAAAAATAAGAAGTAAATAAAACTTAACTCAAAAGACATTCAGGAACAGAATTTCCAATAAACAGTAGAGTCATCTCTATAAGGGAGAAGCAACCCAAGAAGACAAAGAAAAATACGTAATCTAAGACACATACCACCTAGCAGTACCTGATGGTATGCAGTCAGGTCTCTGAACAATGATTAGAGATGAAATAAGTAAGTACCTATGCCTTTTGTAACACATCCCATACCCCTGTTTTATTAGCAACTAGCATTTGTGAGAAAGAAAAGCTACTGCTATTCAAGATGGAAACTTAAACAATTATATTCATACCTCCCCTGAACATTATACAGTGCTGTGAAGGTTAATTCTAGCAGACTGGAATTAGGCTGAGTTGTTTTACAGAGCACTAGGCATGAAACAAACCGATTCACAATGCTGTTTTGTAATTATGGGCCTCAGGAATTTGCGGGCACTGTGCTGGGATTCTGTTTTAGAAAGAATGAAACTGGTGAGATGCACTTGGTCTCAATGAGACCTGTGGAGGGCTCTGCTGTTGAAGCTGATTACTTAGCAGGAAGATGCCTAAATGACAGGCAAAAATATGTAAATCCCCAGCTGAGACTTCAGTTAGGACTCTGTTCCCAGATGTTGCCTGCACATAGTGGGTACCTGATATAGAAGTGTCCTGCCAGGGCCTTAAAACAGGAGACAATAGTAGATTTTAGATTTCACCTGGTCTTTCCAGACTACTAACTGTAAGAAAGTCCTTAGCTGTGATACACATCCTTATTTTTAATGTCGTTGTTATACTGCATATCCTTTATCAATAATAAAATTAAATTTCTAAGCATTAGTTTGGTTTGTAAGCTTTGGTTTCTGAGTTGTCTTTAGTAGCTGAACTCTATTCTTTTTTAACTGCTACCATCACGTATAGTCACACGTGTTGCACATTAAAGTTTCTTAAAATAAAAATATAAATATAAAAGCCTGAAAATGTTACAGTAATCTAAAAATCATAAACGTTTATAAAAACATGTACTTTGGTTTAGATATTATGTATTACTTATTAGCTATCCATATAAATAATATGAAGAACCAAATTAAAATATTCTTTTATAAAACATAAAAAATGCATTTCACTTAAATCCACTGAGATGGTTACTATCAAAACGCAAAACAAGTGCTGGTAAGGCTATAAAGTAACTGGAAATTTTGTGTACTGTTCAGGGGAATGTAAAATGGTGGGAATCTTATGAAAAATAGTATAGTGACTCTTCAAACAATTAAAATGAGAATATACAATCTGGTCATTCCATTTCTGGATAATACACAAAAGAACTGGAAGCTGAGCCTCAAAGAGATACCTGTTCATCACTGTTCATTGCAGCATTACTCAAAATAGCTTACAGGCAGAAGCAGCCTGAGGGTCCCCTGATAATTAAATGGATAAATAAAATAGGCAATATACATACAACAGAAAATTATTCAGCCTTAAAAAGGAATGAAATTCTGATGCACACTAAGGTGGATAAACCAAGAGGACATTATGCTAAGTTGAAATAAGTCAAGCTCAAAAAGAAAAATACTCATTATTCCAGTTATATGAGGTACCTAGTCACATTCATTGGGAGAGAAAGTAGACTGCTAATTACAAGGGGGCTGGGTGGAGGGAGAAGGGAGAGTTTAACAGTTTCACTTTTGCAAGATGAAGACTTCAGAAATGGATGATGCTAATATTTGAACAAAGAATGTACTTAATACCACTGACCTAGCTGTATGTACATCTAAAAATGGTTAAGATGGTAAATTCTGTTGTATATATTTTACCAGCTAAAGCTGCTTTTAAACACACTTCAGAAGATATTTCCTAATACAAGGAATGTGTGTCCAGTTGACCATTTAACTGTTTTATTTCATTTGTTAGAATTAAGTAGTAATCTCAGCAACCAGAAATAATCACAGCAAATATTTATCTTTTTCAGTGTAGTTTTTTCTTATCATAGTTGAGATTTTCTATTATATTTGCATTTCTTTTTTGTTTTTTAATTGTCAGAGTGTGCATGCGCTCTCCAGAGACAGAGAAACAGAGAAAAAAGGAAAGAGAAAAAGCACCTCCCACAGGGCTTGGTCATGCCACAGTCCCTTCTCCTCCATTTTGCCATTCTATAGGAATTTTGGGCAAGTATATACACACATCCAGAATGTCTTTCAAGTCTCTGGGCCCAGATTCAAACCATAGTCATATGGGACTTGTCTCCCTTAACCACTAGACAACAGGCCACCTGTCTATTTCTACTTGATTTTCTACCTCTTTCAAAATATGTTAAAGCGAAATTATTAAAAATGCCAATAATAATAAGACTAATGAAATCAGGACTCGGATTAATGCAAGAACAGAGTTTTAGCATTAAATAAACCTAGGTTCCATTACCAGTCAGTTCAACCATTCATTACCTATATGGTCTTCACTAAACTTCAGTTTCCTCAGAAGAGGAAATATAGTAATACAACAAGTAAATACAACAGCAGTGACCTTATTTTGCTACTAAGATTTCCAAGAGTTTATGGAGGACAAATGCCCCATTTCAGATTTATATAGTTTGTAAAGTGATTAAAATAATACTTGCAAAAGAAATTTTTATTTTACCTTTGTAGGTAGTAACATAGCAACATGTCCCATCCACTTTTTCTGTTGGAACTGCATTGTATATATCTGCAGCTAATGCCTTGTGACTTAGAGTTTCAGTTGCCAAAACTTTAAATGGCTTAAAAGAAAAAAAAAATTGGGTTAAGATAGCCTCTATACTGGGACACACACACTCTCACCTGAAATGTCCTTAATTTTATTAGTTCTCAGGGAAAATGTCTTGTTCATCCTTCAGAATAATTTATAAATATTTCTCTGTGAAGTTCCCCTAAGTTCCCCTTTCTTTCCCAGCTCTCACAGCAATACCAACCTCCCCCAAAATCCAAAGGTGAGAAGAGAATCAAGCTGGGGTGAACCACTATCACACATGGCAGTGTCTAATAAGAATTAGGCTGTTGAGGTTTAAAAAAAATAAAGGTTGACAACTACTGCTACAGACATTGAGAAATAAATGTGGGTTGTTGATTAAAGAAAGAATATAGTGAACCATTCAGGGTGGCAAGACCAAAAAGGTAGTGCAATACGCAGGACGTCTATGTTATAAGAGCTATAACAACAGTATCAATAGAAAGCAGTATGGAAAGATCAGATATTACAAAGTAAAAAGCACCAAGTGGACAGAAAATTGGCATGAAATGACTCCAGGGTTCATTTTTTTAATTCAATAGATAATTTTGCAGTGCCTGCCCTGTGTCAGGTCTAAGAAGCTCGGACTAAGGATAAGAGGGCAGTCTCTGTCTTAATGGCCTTGTAGTCTAGAAGACAAGAAGGCTGGTGCCAATGATGAAACGTGGGTAGGGTAGATTTCAAATGGACATGCGGGGTTTCGGGTTTCCTATGAACTGATGGCTGGGGATTCTACGGATCATACAGGATACTTACTATTCACTCATGAGCATTTCCTGAGGGCCTACTAAGTGTAGATATTGCTAGGGTAGTATGAAACCTTGAGACGGGAACATCAAAGTTAGAATGAAGTAGGTAATTGTTGGTTAGCAATACATGCATGAATGAGGTCTGATCTTTAGCAGCCTCATTAGGTTAGCTGTCGACAATGTCACAGTTTCCCAGGTTAGAACAGGTAAAGCAGGTCTTTTAATGTCTCCACTTTCTCATCACTCTCGAAATGGAAAGTCTGGACAGTGGAGATTACCTAAATACTCAGGGGTTGCTCTCAAAAGGCGCTAACCTGAGAAGAAAGGAACATTATTTAGGACGTGGGGTGTCAATTTCCCTGAGAGAGCAAGTTTGAACAGCGTGATCAGAAAAATTCTCCTACAGATTGCCTCCCTAACAACGAAAAAGCTACAAGAAGCTGGAGCTCAAGGCGTAGGGAACTCCCACCCCAGCGAAAACTGTAAAAAGCTCCCAGCCTGGTCGGCAGCTCTAACGCGCCCGCAGCCCTCGCAGGTGCAAACGCGGTCGCCCTGCTCGCCCGCCCGCCGGGGCTCCCCCGTACCTGATGCTCCCTCTTGGCAGACGGTTCCTCCTTCACCTCCGTCACAAACACACAAGGCATTTTCCGCTGCACTGAGCCCAGGCGCCTCATGGTGAGCCCCACCGACAGTGCGAATCGTTGGCAGATAGCGCTGCAACACTAACCACCCGGGCTCAGGCCGCTCACACTCCGCGCCCAGGGACAGCAGCAGCGACTCTGCGACGCCCAAACCCGGGCGAGGGGCGGGGACTTACTTCCGGGAACGGCCTCCTGGCCGCGGCGCCTTCTGGGAGTTGTAGTGCGGGGCTGAGGCGTGCACTCGCACGTGCGTTCCCCCGGGTTTTGATGACCAGGGAAAAACAAAGATCCGCTTCTTGGGTGTGTGTACTTAGCCGTATCTAGTAACCGCTGATACTTTTGAAAATTAAACAATATAAAGTCAGAGACGAATGATTTCAGATGGTGACTTAACGTAATGATGCCTGCTTGCCTGTTCTCTTCAATAAGTTCAAGGGGAAACCAATATAGAGATTTAGAAGTATCTAGAGAAATCCCCCAGATTCTCAGGCAGAATGAAAACTGGTTTCCCAAGAAGAATGTTAGAAAACGCTGCAATTAAAACACCTGGAACTCAAAGGAAGAAAAAAAAAAAGTTACTATTTGGCTTACACCTTAATGTAGCATAAATTGGTCAAAATTAGTTCTTAGATTCTTTGTGGAGTGAGTGCCAAGTTTGGCCTTAAATTCATCCAAAGCCATAGGAATACCCACCACCAAATTTCAATCTCAAGCCTTTTTTATAGGGAAAACTTACCTTAATTGAATGTGAGTTCCAAGAGACCCAGTGGCTTGAGTAGATGCTGTCAACTGTAGAGCCAAAAATGCCTTTGACTTACTTCTCAAAATATAGTGAATGTGATAAAAGAGCCAATGACGGAATAAAATAAATATTAAATATTTCATTAAGGATAGTTTCTCTCTCATTGGAGCTAGTAGTGCTCAGATTAAATTTGTAGGAAATTTTTACTTTACCACAATCCTTTATATGCTTAGACAAGACTCCATTCTCATTTCTATAACTGTTAAATCGGCATGGGTCATCCAGCATATTACTGACCTAGCCCTTGGGGAAATTCAACAACTATATCTTACTGGAAAGGGTCAAAATAGTAATGGAATTCTCAAAGAGTAAATATCCCTGAAAAAAGTTTACCGTTTTTGATTGTTGGATTCAGACGGTAGGTAGAAAGATTTTCCATTTCAAAGTGTATTTTCTGCTATATTTAAGGTTTTTTTTCCATAGGCAAACACAAACTACCCCTCCACCACCAATTTACAAACAAACAAAAAAAGTAGGAAAAAAAGTTAAAACTCCCAATCCCCGACTCTGTTGTTGGAACCAGACACTTTTAGTGTTTTATACTCAAGTGCCAGTTACTTTTCGTTTCTCCAGAGTAATCCTAAAAACCAGCTGTTTCAGTCTCAAAAATAAAACTAAGTTACCTTCACAAGTGTCAACTGTCATCTCCTAAACTGCCACAGAATCTTCTAGGTCTAACATTCTGTCACTTCTGAGAAAGGATCACCTTCCAAAACATTCCACTTGCTATTTGAATAATATCATCAAGGCTAATCATCTCTTAGAAAGCACTCTGTTCCCAATGCTTTGATTTCATCATTGCCTGGAGCAGACTCCAGCAGATACCTAAGTTCAAGGGAAGAGCTGCAGGATCAATTCACCATAATAAACTGGACTTCTACTCTTACGGGTGGCAATCAGCAGCTTTGCCTAAGTCTCAAAATCTTCAAGAGTCAGCAAGAAGTTCTTACCAGCCACTGTACTTAAAGTAGTGTTACGGGACTACAAAAGACTTTCTTCTCTGAGACTGATGCATTAGTTTACTAGCATGTACTAAAAAGGAGAGAGACTCAGTGTGAATGTGCTTTGGCCAACACAAAATACAGAATTTTCTACACCACACCCAGTTGTGGAGTCAAATTTCCCATCAGTCCTCATACAGGGAATAAAAATCCTCTTGGGTAGGGCCATAGCTTTCTGTGAAAGACTAGAATAAAATCCACATTAGGAAAGGATAGAACTGAAGAGAATAAGAAAAAGGAAAAATAAAAAAGAGAAAAGAAAAGAAAAAAGAAGTTAAAAAGAAGAAAGCAGGGCCTCAGGATTCCTAGAGGCCATGAAATCTATTTAATATACTCTGCAACAACAAAAGCAATATCCCCATATGGGTTTGACCTGTTCTTACTGTTTCTAATGGATTGTAGTTATATACACCTAACTCCAAAAATTAAAAACATTTTTTCAGCCAAGTACAACATAGACTTTCCCAGTGGCTTTAATTATGACGATATGTGTAATCATGCAGTACTGGTGTTTGGTAACAGTATTTGAAAACACTCCCATGAAGCTACGCATTCACAGGTGGAGAGGGAATTTGGAAGCAAAGACCAACTGAAGATTTTTTTTAAGGTGTTTTTCCTACTATCCTATTTACTTAAGATGAGCACTTTATTGTTCTAGAATTAGAAGGAAGGGCAAAACAAAGATCGAGATAAATTTTAGTTTCTAAACTTATTTCCTAGATTTTTATCCTAAAGCATTGAATTTAAAAATGTCATACCAACTTGGCCTATTTTATTTAACCAAAAAGAAAACCCGTATTTGTCTTAATCTTTTAAATTTCCAATTGAAAGTACATGGCAATTTTTTTCCCAGAGAGTTTGTTTTGTTTTGTTTTGTTTTTGCTATAGGGCACATGGACTCACCAGAGAGACAAAGACAGAGAAACAGAAAGTGAGAAATTACTCCCTGGAGGGATGACCACACTGCAATTCCCTTCTCCTTCAGTCTCTTGGGATTTTAGTCATGTACACACACATGGCTGGCATGAGCTTTAAACCACCGGGTCTGGGACTGGAACCAGTCGACTACATGGGAGTCCAGTGATGTAACTGTCACTCCATCTTCTGGTCCTAGTACATGGCAGTTTAAAAGTAACTTTTTATTTAATTTGTCACCTCTATGACATCTTTCAAGTCACCTACGATGAATATTTTTATGTCTGCTTTTTTTTTTTTTTTTTTGTTAAAGACACTAAGGTAAAACTCTTAGTAACTACTGATTGAAATGTATTTTTCTGGGAATCAGAGTACTTAATTTGGTTTTTGACAAATCATCATATTTTCAAGAATGCTGGAACCTTTCGACTGTAAGAACCTTCCACCATAAGGTATTTTGAAGGTACCTGTTTAAGATATTGGAATATGAATGTGATTCTCCCCCCCCAATTCAGTAGGTAACAGTGAGTACATATTTAAAATAATTACATTTGTTATCTTGTATAGATAGCATATTTTTATTTACAAATATTAGTTTGGTTTCCACCATATATAGAAACAAGGAAGTTAGAATATAGCTATCTACTTGTCAAATACTCATTAGTTTTTAAATATGAAAGTACAAACTGATTTATGTTCCATTTTCAATGATAATATTGAAAGATAAAACATACTACTATACATTTGCTACTGTCTTTTGGTTAATATACTAAAACTAAGGGAAATGCAGTTTTCACTGGTAAACTAGCCTACAGTTATATGTGAGGTCATTTATGATGAGTAAACAATGGATTAGGTAACAATGAAGAAAATTCTGGAAGTTTGAGTTTGTGTGCTTACTAGCAACCACTTTCAACATTTCTGCAAAGCTAGAGAAGGTATCTTCTAATTTAAATTTCTTTAAGAATTATCTATTGTGTAATATACCGTCAACAGGAGGTCAGTTTTAAAGGAATACCACACTGATAGCCTGAAAGACTGTGGAAAAGAATTTTTCCCCCTTACACACTGATAGTTCTTATATTTGCATTCCTTCTTCCTGCAATTATTATATACATAATATATATTTAAAAAAAAACGTTGGATTAACAACAAGAGCGTTGAAAATGGCAGAAGTTGGGAATGACTGCTATTTCTTTTTTAATTCCACATGCACAAAGGTAAATATGTACAATTTACACTACTTCACGTGCTTAAGTTTGTTAGTAGAATGAGGATATTGCAATAATTTGCATTACTAATCAATATTTACTATTTTCTGGGAGATGTTTTTTATACTTAAAATCTAAAGTTACGTAGCCACGTATTTTGATATATTGAATTTCTCTGAACAATTCTAAAGATAATTTAAAATATGATTTATTCAAAAATACCCTTATAAGTGTCAGTTACCTGCCTTTTGACTTTTTAATCTTAATGTGGCATTTTGGCCAATATTATGGCTTCTTGACACATGAAATTCCTAATATTGTAACAGTACATTGTATGTCATATTATTTTGGTTAATATGATTTCAGTCTTATATTCAGATGGTTAAATTCAGGCCATTATCAAATTTAGTATTATAAAGCTAATCGTTTCTGTATCCGAAATTAATTAACTCGATTACTGTATTTTCAAAAGTCTTTCTAAATAACAACAAATATTTAAATATCATGGAAGAAGTAAGACACACACAAAAATAAGCAAATTGGCCAAATGGGAGTTACAGTTTACAAAGGTAAATGAGAAAAAATTTAATCCAAAGGATTAGGATGAATGGATTTCAATAAAACCAAACAAATATAGAAACTCAGTGTTTGATGCTTAATGCTCATGACAAAATAAACCCAATGAAAGAGACTATGAGTCTGGTTTAACATGTTTTATCTCTGCTAGGAAGCCTGGATGGAATCAATCCCATTGACCATAGGAATGAGGTCCACTTCGGTTACCTTTAGATTAAGTACTGAGATGATGGTAATACAATTCATGTCCCAGATGGACAAAATTTGTGTCTGTTTTACTGATATTAATATATTCCCAAGTACTTAGCACGGTGGCTGGTACATAGTAAGTTCTCGATAATTAATAAATGAATAAACAGGTACCTTAATAGCCATCACAAAGCCTTATCTGACATCACTGACAAAAATGCTGAAAGAAGGGTATTTTATTTCCTTTTTACAGTCGAGGAAACTGAGGCACAGAGAGGAAAAAATACCAGTTTATCTGACTTCAAGGTCATGCCCACAACCCTGTACTGCATGTGTATACAGATCCACTTTCAAAAAGGGAGAAATAACACACGCACACACACACACACACACACACACACACACACACCATATCATGGCGCAGTGCTAAAACATGCTTGCAAGTCAGTTCCACATGGGAAAGTTCCCAGTTCAAGTCCAGAGACCTCCCTGAGGACTCTAGGTACCCCCTTGCCCATGATCCAGGGCTGGCTGAACATTAAGACCCTGTTGGGGTGCTGTCTCTCTCCTCTCTTTCTCTCTCTCACTCATGGAAAAAGTAAAACGGAGATAATGAAGACAAAATTTGGAGGGAGTAAAAAGATAAGAAACAACCTCTCTTTTCTCTCAAAAGAGAAGAAATTAATGAAATACTATTACTATGCTATCCACCTTTGTCCATAAGACAGTGGCCTACCGTTTTTTTTTTTTTTAACTGTAGATCCATGTATAAAAGAACATAGAATTTAAAAAAGAGCAGCTCATTGAAATAATTTACATTTACTTTTGTTGGTATATAAAGATGTCAGGGCGTGCATGTGCAATTTACCTTTGTAGTCTAAAGGCACAAAACATATACATGTAATGTAACATGATGTGGTAATTATTTAAAATTTCACAATAGTAAGTTTAAGGGGCCAGCAGGTGGCATGATGGTTAAGGTGCTGGACTCCAACATGGCCAACTGTGATTTGAATCCCAAACCTGGCTGCTTACTTTTTCACTTTCTCTCTCTCACGCTTTCTCTGTCTCTCTCTCTCTGTCTCTTTCTCTCTCCAGTGAGCACTTGTGCCCTATAGCAAAATTGAAAAAGTAATAATCATAATAAATAAGTAAATAAATAAATAAGAAGTTTAAACTCTATGTACTTTCTGCACATAAACAAGACTTAACAGGTTCTCACGCATAAACTAAGAAACTAATCAAAGAGTTCATAGACATTGTCTTCACAACTAGAATTTGGTGATTTTTTAAAAATATAGTCTGTCTTGCTTCAGAAAGAGAACTGGAGTGGTTCTGACATAAGATTGTGATTAGGACCTCACTTGTTTTCTTTTATATCCATTCTTAGTGAACCAGATAGTTGAACTGATTTGAAAAAGTGGCATTGTATCAGTGACTTGTGGCTTGCTGTAGTATTTAATTATTACATTATCTTGTCACATTCTCAATCAAATAGGCTAATTTGCTAAATTTAGACTTATAATCCTATATTAGTGGTGTGTATTTTTGTGATTCTAATTAGACCTTTAATTAATTAGCAGCCTATTGTTGCTGAGCACTAATGTTAATATAAATGTTAATATATTGAGTTTTCTACACCGTTCACTTTTTAATTTTTTTTTAGGGTTCCCAGTGCCGATTCCGACACTGTGAAGAGGCCCTTGGCAGTGACACTGTGTGCTCATTATGGAGAGAGAGAAAATGCTTAGATCCACTTTGCAGATTTAGACACATGGAAATGCAGGTAGAATTACCCAGCATACCACTCCTGTTAAAGCCATCTTCCTTCAATAATATTAAATTATATTATACTTTTACAACACAATAGGGGAGAAGTGGTTCTTCCTTCCCCTATTTAGTTATAGGCATTTTTAGGGACTTAAGTTCTTAGAAAAACGGAGGAATATGCTTTAGCAATTTTCACTGCATCTTTTAACTAGCAGGGCCAAAATGCTAGAAGACAGAAAATACACAAGATCTAAAATCAGTCATTGTGATTATTTTGCAATTGTATTGTGTTGTAACATATGGCATTTATTGTGACTGTGACATCTAATCATTATATTCACCCCATCTTCTTTGTCTAGCAAAACTGCAGTATTTCATGCTTCTGGGAAACTCAGCCTCTTGGGTGTGTGAAGATCAGTTGTATCTTTTATCACAGCAAACCTCGAAATATCAATGGATTGTTTCTGCCGCCAAGTAGCAGTGAGTATACATTTTTAAAAAACATGGACATACCATATTGCAATCTGCTTTTCAAGTAATAGCATAGAATGATATTTTAAATAAAGTATGACAAAGTAAGCAATGCAGTCTAGTAACCAATGGATGATTTAGATGATTCTAACAAGGATCAGTAGATGGCGTAATGGTCACGGGACTCCCGCGTAGTCAGCCATGGTTTGAGGGTTCAACCCAGCAGTTTAAAACACCAGGAGAGTGTGCATGTATGCCCAAGATCCAGAGAGGAGAATAGAGGAGAGGGGGTTGTGGGGTGGCCACCCCTCCTTGGGGGTAATTTCTTGCTTTCTGTCTCTGTCTCTCCAGTGAGTGGATGCACCTTGTAGCAAAAATATCTCTTAAAAAAATGAATCATGAGATCATATTAAGTGAGACATAAAGCAGCTAACAACATAAACAAAAGAAAGAGCAAGTTAAATTCTCCTTGTATGTTTCACATGGATATTTTGTCTGAAAAGTGAGATGGCTACTTGGTTAAGTAGAAGGATACTGTGTCTCCTCAAAAGCATCACCCAACTAGAGCCAAGCTCAGAGGGATGGCCTCACCTATGTTCCTAGGAAGTGTGCAAAAATCTATCTCATAGGTGGAGAAAACAGGGGCCTTTTCTGGGTTACCCCATGCTTCTAAACTGAGGCCTATATGTTGATGTTCTTCCTAACTCTTCAGTTGTGGAGAAATTGTAATCAATTCCACTGAGATTCTACTATGTGGTGAACTTTAAGGTAGATTTCGGGGGGGGGGGAGAACAGAAGATACTATATTATAAAACAGTGAATAGTGAGACCATCAGATGGCATGATGGTTTTGTTGTTGGAATCCCACATAGTCAACAGTGATTCTAGTGCTGGACCTGTCAGCTTAAAACTCAGGCCAGGTGTCTGTGCATGGGTGCCCAAAATCCCATGAGGAGAATGGAGGAAAAGGGATTGTGCCATAGCCATCCCTCCTGGGGGGGGGGTGATTTCTTACTTTCTGTTTCTCTGTCTGTCTCTGACTAGTGTGCATGCCCTATAGCAAAAACAAACAAACAAATAAACAAATAAAAACAACTCTCTAAAAAACAAACAAAAAACTCAGGCCGAGGACCAACAGATGGCATAATGGTTACATTGCTGGACTCCCACATGGCTGACTATGATTCAAGTTCTGATGAATGATCCAATGGCTTCAACCGCGCTGGGCATGTATGTGTGCATGCCCAAAATCCCAAGAGGGGAATGGAGGAGAAGGGATTGTGACACCCGGACCCCAGTGACTCAAAACTCATGTGGAGTGTGTGTGTGTGTGTGTGTGTGTGTGTGTGTATACACATGTATAAATTAAAACAAATAAAATAGTAAATAGCGAGATCCTTGCTGAAGGAACCGTCTGGTTTCTCTGATACTATTGCTTCTCCACTGTCCTGTATGGCCACCAAATTTCTCTAGTGGAATGGCTCTAGAAATGAGCTTACAGGATATCAGTTCTTTGGGATTTGAAAGCATGGCCTCAAAATATCTTCAGCAAATGGATAACTAAAAATTAAGTCCCCTTGTTATGGTTTTCTAGAAAGTTCTAGCCTCATAGTACACATGGAACATGTGATACCTTGATCATACTTCTCTCCTTCCCTATAGTGTAAACATTATGAGGATGGGGATCATAGCTACTTTCCTTACCGCTGCCTTGTATAGATACTCAGTTTAATTGATTGTAAGGACAGATGAATAGAGGATAGATAAATTAACTGCTGAAAGGTACCTACTGGGATGAAAGTTATTGCACCTATGTATTAAGTAATTAACTTTGGCCCCATCTGTTTACATACAGTGATTTTATTTCATGCAGAATGCCATACTAAATTCTTTCTATCGAATTAGTAGTTTGATACCTAATGGTAAAATTATTATCTCTCAATAGACCTCTTTCAAGCCTAGGGAAAAACAAAGTCTGCATCTCAAGGCAAAAGAAGGGATGGAATGTCTGGATGATTATGACTGGGCTCCCCACTGTAAGACATGCCCTGGGCTAAGTGCTGTAGGGATAAATTTGATTATTCTCATTGATGAGAAGTAGAATCTGAACATTAGAGATAAATAATGTCTGACTTTTCTGAACGTCTCAGTTTCTTCAGTAGGTGTTAAGGCTAAACTTGTCAGTTGGAGTAATTTCTTCAATCAGGTCAAACCTAGATCCACCCACTGGTACCAATCTCTTCCCTTAAGCCTTCTCCCCTCTACCACGAGAGGGATATAAGGAGACTCAGAGGCTGCTAATACCCTGCTTCCCCAAATCTCTTTGCTTCTATCTATAGGGGTCAAGAGAGAGCCCCATCTACCCACCTCATTGACCAACAGAGCCTCATTATGTCTTTTAAAGTGTTATAAGTCCACCAGGGCTAATTTAATCCTTTTATTCCTGTTTATGTCAGTCAATACAAGAAACTCCTTTTCTCAAGTGGGTCATCATTCCTGCCCTGCTCTGTCCTTTTTACTTATTCCTCTCCAACCTTGCATTATCAACAGAATTCTTACTTGACTTCTTTAAACTTTTCATACTCTAATCAAAGTGTTTTCCTCCTGAGGATCTGCTTCTCCTGAGCACTCAAGTAGTGGCTGTTTTTTCTCATAGCCCTCCAGTACGACAGGACTGGATCCTCATTGCCAGTTTCAGGCTATTGTCTGGTCCATCTCCCCAGGACCATCCAGCCTGAATCTAATGTCAACAGATTATGGCATTTGTACCCCTAGTGGTGCTGTTTTATCTTTTGTCTGTGACAAATCTTTAAAAAGTTCGTAAAAGATGAGTATTATGAAAAAGCTACGCATGGATTTCCATTTTTTTCTTGTACCAGAATAAACTCATATTTATCTAATTCCATTCTCCCATGCACTTTTCAAAGTCCCCTCATGCCCCCAAGTCCTTTCTCCATGTTTTCCAACAGTGTGAACTGCTGTCTAGTTGTCACTCTAACAGTACTCCTATGTCAATTCTTGATTTCAGTAGATAAATATGTGACCTATCTATCACCCTAGCTTCTCAGTTCCTTGAACTAAACTCTCTTGTTGAACTTATCCTTTCCCCATTTCAGTCAGTCACTCTTAGTCACATTTTTTTTTCCTTTGGTTTCACTGTAGGGCGTGTGCACTCACCAGAAAGATAGATACAAACAGAGAGACAGAAAGTGAGAAATCGTCCCCCCGAGGGGATAGTCACAACACAATCTCTTCTCCTCCATTCTCCTCTTGGGGTCTTGGGCACACACACATACACGCACTTGGCATGAGTTTAAGCCACCAGGTCCAGGACCCAAACTGCGGTCGACTACGTGGGAATCCACCGACAGCCATTACGCTAACTGCTGGTCCCACTCTTAGTCATATTCTAAATGATAGTTACCACCTCTACCACAGGATCTTGATTCCATGTATCCTCTGGCCTATTTTTCTATTTCAGTGTGTCTAGAATCTTCACTTAAACAGTGCTTCAAACACTCGTACCTCTAATTCATCGATTCTATCATTTTTTCACAATCGCTCAGTTCCTTGGTTTGTTTTTCACCTCTATCTGCTGATCTGTCCCTTACACACACTCTCCATTCTCTTGTAATCCTCTGGTTTCACTGTACTTGCTGGATAACCATAATACTGTAAGTGACTAAGAACAACCCTTCATCTTCTCTGTGCTTGCATCCATTACAGTTGGACATGACTATAGAAAGCTATACAATCATGCTGATGGTGTTAAATTTATTAACATAATTATGACCATAAATCTCAAATGAGCCTTGATGTCGACTGTCAATCATACTAACATCACAGTTCCCCAGTTCATCCCTATTATCCTAGACTATTGTTTTATAGATTTTCTCCTCCTCCTTAAACTAAGTGGTCTCAGATGATAACCTCACGTCTTACTAACACAAACTTTGAAGCAATGAGAAGAGGGCTTCCACAGATTTCCCTCACTACATCTGCCTATCTACTAGCATCTGTACTAGCCTCTTCCCCTCTTACAAATGAATTATCCACACTCCAACCTGTCTAGAGCATGTTCTACTTGGTAGCTAGATCGTACCTCCTCTTATCTACTCAAGGACACTAACTCAACAATTCTCCCTCTCCTTTCTACATAATCATTTTAGAATCTTATTGGGTCATTCCTATCAGGACACAACCATGCACGTATCTATTTTTTTTTTTAAACTGCCTTCTATTGAATTCATTCTCACAAACTGCCATTCCATTTTCTTTTCTCCCTTTAACTGTCATTGTTCTCAAAGTGGTTGTTTATTCTTGCTATCACCAAATCCTCCCTTCTCATTCTTTCTTAATTCCGTACTAACGAGGCTTTTTAGCCCTTTCCACAGTCATTGACACATTGTTAAATCCTGCGGCAGATTTTCAGTTCTTAATATTATTTGAATATTAGCAATACTTGACACATTTGACCACCCCTTCCTCTACCATACAATCCTGCATTCCTACTGCTGTTTTCACTTTCTTCTGCTGTTTTTATTTTTAAGAATTATTTTATTTAACTATTTATTTACTTATTTTAATTTGACCAGAAAGGAACAGAGGGAGAGAGAGAGAGAGAGGGAAAGTGAGAACTGCTATCAGCCATGTGGGAGTCCAGCACTCTTAACCACCACACCAACTGCCAGCCCTGCCCTGTCCTCCAAGTTTTTACATGTGGGATGTTCTAAGAGTCAGTCCTTGGTTCTCTTCCCTTTCCTTTTCTTTCTTTTTCTTTCTTTCTTTCTTTCTTTCTTTCTTTCTTTCTTTCTTTTTTTCTTTCTTTCTTTCTTTCTTCCTTCCTTCCTTCCTTCCTTCCTTCCTTTCTTTCTTTCTTTCTTTCTTTCTTTCTTTCTTTCTTTCTTTCTTTCTTTCTTTCTTTCTCTTTCTTTCTTTTTTTCTTTTTTGGTCTACTGCTTTAGTACTCTCATCATCTTATGACTGAGTATGATCCACATATCAATGAT